GTGAGAGGGCACCAGATGCCAGTGAAGGGCTTCAAATTTAGACCTGCACTCAGTTCTCAGGGCCATTAAGCAGAGAGGATTCTTTAGCTTAATTGCCAGAGCCTGACATGAAAGGGGGAAAGGTTTTTTGAGGTCTCATCCAAAAGACCCACTACTTTCACTCAAAGTGTTGCGTGTTAGACAAAGGAACAGTACGATTTCTTTTTTATTGACTTAAGTTTGTTGTGGCCAGGGTGCGAAACCACAACCTACTGACTGAGCTACTACCTTGAGGATTCAAAATCTTTATTGATTAACAAATTACATACACTAATTATAAGTCACATATAACCAGAATATATCAAATATTAGCACTATATAATATTTCTTTTTTCTATTAGTAAAATATTTCTTGAAGATTTTTAGCAGAAGATTTAAAAATTATTAACAAATATTGTTTTTCAAATTCACAAATAATTTTTTATTAGAAAAAGTAAAATGTCTCTCTGACTCTTCTTTGCATGTTTTATTAATTTTTATATTGTGTGTTGATTATAAGCAAGTTTTAAGTTCCAAAATGTCTTCTTCACAAACAAAACAATTTTCTCCATTTTCCCTGAAAAAATACCCCCCCCCCCCTTTCAAAAAAATAATATGAAATAATTATGACCTTATATTGGTCTTGTAATGCTGAAATTATATGTCAAAAGAGAAGCTTTAAACATCCATTAAATAAACTGTTGGTGTGTTTGCAAAAGGAAAATATTAAAAATTCTATTTCCACGGAGACTTTTCATGGTCTCATCTGGCATCATTTTGGCAAATTTAGCAAAAAAAATGTTGGGCCTTTTGAAGGTGCTTTAGCAATGTCTGTGATGTTAATGAACTGTAAATCAACAACAATCAATGGATACTCCTCAAACTTTTTCAGACTTTTGTTATTGGATTTGCTCTACTGATGCTCCATGAAAGCCTTTAAATGTGGCCAAAGAATTTCTCTATGGTTTTACTTTTCAGATGGTATTATATGGCATCTAATAAGACCTGTATGATTTGTGAGCCATTCCAGGATTTTTCTTGGACAAACAACATGCTTAATGTGTCTTAATGAGATCTTCTCACACAAGCTGTGCTTGATTTCTATAAATACTTACACAATTTTCAGATATTCTAGGACTATAATTTACCACTGGGATGGTTTTTCTTGACTATTATTTTTGGGCCTTGGAGTTCTTTGTCATGCAGACTGGAGTCAGTGAGGTCTTTCATAACATGTAATTCAAAGAATTTCCTTGATTTATAAGTTTGGCTTATGCATTGCAAAGTGGCTTTTAAATTTTTTTCTTTCTTTTTCTTCTTCTTCTTTTTTTTTTTTTTGGCAATCTTATATTACAGTCTTCAGAGAGCACACTTCTGAGGACTTGGTTTTCAGACTGTTTTACTCCACAGCAATTTCAAATAAGAACCATTTTTAATGGGCTTAATTAATGAGGCTATCACACAGCTTCTGACAGGACCACAATGCAGACCCAACAGTAGCAAAATATATACCAGGATGTAGAAATACACATTAGGTATAATGTAGAAGCATTGGTTGCAAAAGCAATCATCACTAGCAAAAGTTTAAAACAATGATGTCTACATGGAATAAGAAATACAGGTAAAATCCAAATTAATGTGTGTTTGCAATTTAAAATGACTAACATGTTTAACAAATGTTAAACATATGAATTTCTGTTGTGTAATTACCGTATACTACAAACATAATTGTGTTCATCATATTGAACATTCATTTGATTTTCAGAACCTGAGGAACAGACTACCTTAAACTGAAAATGGTTTTAACAATTCTAATGTACACTATATATATTGACATTGTAAATGAAAATATTTACATTTGCAAATGTTTTCTTTTATATAACACTATTAAAAGCAATGCGTATCTATATCCCTATACACATGGGTTCATGTAATTTTTTTTTTTTGCATTTTTTGGAATTGAAAACAAAAATTTCATCAGGCACTATCAACTAGAAATTTTGTATTGAAATGCATGCAGTTTCCACTGGAATATGTAAGCAATGAATAACAACTATATTAGTTAAGGAGTTGACAAATTAATTGAATAGTCCTCAATTAAAGCCTAAAAAATAATTAATGAATCATGCTTGTTTTGGCATTCCTATTAAAAAGGTTGACCTTTCCATTAGCTAGTTAAAGGGAGTAAAAAATGTATGGATAGGATAAAAGTCAACTATTTTATTATGGCAAATCATAGTCCTGATATACCAGAATAATTCTAATGACCGAAAAATTAAGCTAAGTTGACAACTAGTTGACTGTAAAGTATTTTAGAAATATGAATAGAAGTTTTTTTTTTTCATTATCAAATTATTTTTTGTAATGATTTGATAACGTTTGTAAGAAACACAACATTATAAAATAAAAAAAAAATCTTGATGCCATTTTCAAATTAATTTATCTTGAGTCATAGTAAAGTCTATTATACTTACTTAGTTACTCAGAAAACACCTGTAACGATGATCCTTGTGTACAGTATTGATACTTCCATGTAGTGAATACAAGTCGCCTTTTATCGGTGACACAGAGTTGCTAGAGGTCTGAGACTTATATCATTGTGTGTTCAGTGGACAACTGACTCACTAGGTACTGAGTCGTAACTGAGTGTTCATACAACTGGACTTGGTAACAGACTGCTGATTAATTCTAACGAGGTCAGATATTGGTGCCTAGCTCTAGGAAGCAAGACATTCCTGTCAATATTGACCAGTCCCCATCAATACCCCAGCTCTATTAGCATTTAATATCATTTGTTTAACAGTATTTATTCACAGTGTAATTTGTATTTTGTTTTGTGCTACTTGGAGCTGTAAAAAGCTTAGCTTTGGTACTGAGCTAGCACTTATTCACACAACTGTTGACAATTGAAGAGAAGAAATTTTTTCTGATGAATACAGTCATATATTGTTTTTTTTTCTTTTTTTTTGCTAATGCTTTAAATCTTAAATTCAATTTCATACTACTTTACATTGCTAGCAGACTTTGCAGTTCAGAAATTTTATGAAAAATTTAACAAAAAATTGTTGTAAAAAAAATCTGGAAGTTGACTTTTCCAATGCAATTTGGAAAGAACAGACTCTTTTCTTACATTATCTAAATAGGGGTCTGTATTCTGTTGCTCTCCGCTCCTTTGACAAACGAGCATCTACTGACGACTATGATTAGACAGGCCAGGCTCCGTACTGATTAGGAAAACTCTTCATCTCTAACGAGCCGCAGTCTTCAAGCTTGACTTCTTCAGCAATTGATTTTTATTATTTTTCACAAGCTTCAATCCTCAGCAAATATTGACAAACAGGACAATTAATTTGATTAATTAGCAATTAGACAAGACTGATTTTCACTTATGCAGTCTTTTATATGCTACAATTTATACTGATAATTATGCTACATTTAGTTTTTTAATGACAAAGTTCAGGGTCAGAGAATGTAATAGAATTTCTTTGATCTGTAACTGATTGAATTATGTAAAGGAATATAGAGAGGCCCTTAGAGATAATGGACCATTTGATGGTAATAGATTATCTCAGATAGAAACATAGCTAGAGTAATTTGAAGTCTATGCAAAAAATGAAAAGGTCAAAGATTTCAAGCTCAATATCTTTATATGGAACCCAGTTTGCAGTTACAGTTGTACAGTGGCTTAGTTTGTAATTTACCTGCACAATGTCTGTATACACCTGCCATCTGTCAGTGATTGGGGTTTGGGGAGGGAGGGTGACTGGTTCCTTGGAGAGGGAACATATTAAATAAGCTTGCCCTTACATATTGTTGTGGTACCATTACTGGATTCTTTGAAAAGGAAGTGTAATTTGCTCGAGTTCCACAAAATCAAGAGATTTAGTGAGACGATTGGTAGGCTGTAATTAACCCTGATGTAATTGCTTCAGCTATAAATACTTTTTAACTTTTTTTCTCCAGACAATTCATTTTCTATATTTTCAAGGAGAACTATAAAACTTGCATCTTGTCTGATGTATTGTAGCAGACAGAGTAATTAGTTAGAGATCTGTGTGACAAATTTTTACTTATCCATTAAACTGGCTTCCTAATGTGTTCTGTAATGGTTGTAGACTGTTGTATGAGTACAGACTATTAACAGACAAATAGCTGGCACTGCCTGCATCACATGATGTCAGTTTCCTGTCTCTTTGAGGGCTTCAGACATTTTTATATCCTCTCTGTTCATTACTGTGTGAGACGAGGAGAGGAATTTCTAGCATTTGTTACGATATAAATTATTACTGAATTACATAATTCTTTACAGTGTTTTTTATTGTATAAATTTAATTCTTCCATATTGAAATTCATTTAAATTTAAACTTTATAACAAACACAAATATAGCGAGTTCCTGCTCACAATGTGATTTTTTCATGTTTTTGATTTTTTAATATCTGTACAAAGTCTATATGTTGCAATAGTGCCTCTTTTAGCTCTTCTAGTCCAGGAATGTCTGTCTGTCTGTATAAATAACAAAAAATTCAACATGCTAATCCTCCTACAATTTTGGTTTGAATTATTCAATAAAACTTGGTACACAAGTATACCACATTAAAAACCTATTTCTTTATATTGTGTTTCATTATGATGAATGTGATTGCTGACATGGTTAATGAAAGATAGAATTATTTTAAAGTTCCTTCCAAATGTTCTTCATCCTACAGTTTTGGTATGAAGTTGGAATCATTGTGAAAACAACAACAAAGAGACATAAAATTCATAAATAGACTCAAAATTCATTCAATGAAAAACTCATAAAAAGAAGTGTTACATGTCCAAATGTACCTTTTTTTCTTGCAATATATTTATGTAATTTAAAACCAGTAGAGCTACAGTCTCATTAAAGTTAGAATATTATATGCCCAACACATACTCTTACAGCATTCTTTATACAAATAACAACCAAAGTGTTTAAATAATGATTTCTGTTCTGTTCCAGCACCAGGCTATGAAGCGCCACAATGAGGCATGGAGAGACAGTCTTAGATACCGGCGACCAGACCTTGACAGGATGCCAGGGATCCGACGGATCACCATTAACAACAATCCAATGCTGGGGGACCAGGGGGCAGCACTGCTGGCCGAGGCTCTCAAAGATGATCTCTGGCTCAAAGGTGGGGAGTTTGTTGTCACAGATCGTTATCTGGTGTCGCTTACTCCAAACTGAAAATTAATGGTGTTCTGAGATACTACAAATTATAAGATAATAAAATGAGATTCCACGACTGATGCTTTTAAGTGATACTTATATTAGTAAAACATACTTATAACAAACACTCTTCAGGGATGGACGCTAAAACTTTTAGGCTTTAGTCCGGCTGGACTAGTGATTTTTACTTTTACTAGTTCGCATGCGATTTTATGAGTCTGTCCAAAAAGAAAACATTAATGTTTTGTATCGATTAATTTAAAAATAAGCATTACAATATGTAATTTTTTATATTTTTTGAAATAAAGCATTTACATGAAGTATTTTATTCCACAAAATTGTTGAAATCTCGCGAACAGGAAGTACGATCGATTTCCCAATCTTGTTCTTTTTTTCTCTTTACATTTCATCAAAATGCACCCAAAACATCCATCTTTATGTGTCATACTAAATCATGATCGCTAAAATGCTTTACTTCATATCAATCAATTGTAATATTAAGCACTGGATTGATTTGGAATTTCCTAACTACCCACTGAGAACCTAGAAAGCTAAATATACATGTGGGGGTTTCAAGTAAAAGTTGTACAGGATGGAACATTGGTAATTTATTCATTTTGTTTTCCACAGGTGCGTAGCTGCCTATACGCAAATACGCAAGTGCGTACACATCATTTTCAGAAAAAAAGATAAGACAAAAGAGAGAATTATTCGGAGAAAAAAAAATCTCAGTACCATCCAACAAATATTCGTGTTTCAAATTATTCTGTGTCATACAGTGTCGATTTAAATTTTAAATTATTATGGCTGTATGATAAAATTTGAAATCTTTTATTTAATAACTGCCAAATCCAAATAAATCATTCATTATTTTGTCATTGTTCTATCATACATTGATATTTTTTTTTAAAGATCTTTGAAAAATTAAATTTCAGCCACATCGTTGAATGCTATGATCTACCAATATGATTTACAATACGATATTTTTTTGTACACAATTAAAATTTCGTGTACGTGTTTTTAAATGTTAAGAATGATTATATGATACATGTACCAATTAATATTTCGGTTAAATTTTTAGCCTCAATTATATGTACAATAAGTTTCCATGGAATATTAATTTTCGGTAAAGCAATAAATATTACTATGTCTTTTATTTCCTAAACAAAAACTAAATGGCATAATTTTTATATTTCAAGAAAATGAATGAAATATTTGGTAAAACTCCGAGCTTCTGGGTCCTCAACAGCAGGCACGTAGTAGCAGGGGAGCTACTTATTCCCAAAACCTAACTTTTTACTATTGAAAATGTACATTGAAAATGTACATTTGAAACCCCCACTGTTGTTGCACCATTGTTAAATCATGGTAATTTAGTAATGTATTAATAAAAATTTGGTTTGTGAAAGATGGACACCCCCTCCCCCTTCAACAAACACACATACACAAGAAATAGGACTTCGAATTTTGACAATCTTCCTTTTTCTTGACAAAATTTTTAAAGTTGTAATTTTTTCCTGGCTGGAAAAAGCTATTTTACGTGCCTGACCAGAACCCTTAAACACTTGGGGGGGGGGGGGGGGGGGGCTCAAGACCGCCCCACCCAACCCCCTGCCGTTCTTTGCATATACATCATTTCTTTTCTGGCTACGCGCCTGTTCCATAATTTTTTTATTGGTCTGTTTGGACTTACTAGCCACAGATTTTATTAGTCCGAATGAAAATGTATTACTCTGAGACTCACAGTCAGGGTTGGGGTCAATTACTTTGAAATGTAATTAAATACTCTCAAATACATTGATAACTTTGTCAATTACTTGCAATTACAATTACATTGATTTTAACAAATGTAATTAATTGCTCTCAATTACTTTGAAGAATGTAATTATATACACATCAATTACTTTAGTTTTATTTCCAAAAATTTTGAAGAACATTTAAGGACATACGCAACGTACCTTACCTACTGATAATTTTTCAAGATATTCTTAATTTAAGATTATAATGCCATCAGATGTTCATAGACAAAAAATCAGCAAGCATTACCAGGGGTTTTGAAAAGATATCAATTGATGAAAATTCTTGTATAATTTAAAGAAAAATATACAAAAATTACTAAACATATATTCTAGATGTTTTGTTTATCAAAACTTGTTCAAGAAGAAGTGTACAACAGTATATATAGACATTAAAATGTAGCACACAGTTCCTTTAAGTATTGGAACTCTTCAACTCCAGGGAAAAAGACAATAAAGTTCAAACTACGTTGCGTATGTCCTTAATACATGAATATTTTGAAGAGCAATATTATTAAATTTGACCTCTCTTATTGCCCTGAGCAGTCTGTTTATGCTGTATAAACATATAACTAAAGGCATTTAGTTATTGAATAAAAACAAACTCATGTCAAACAGTACTGATATGCATCATGATAAAACACCTTTTTAGCTCACCTCAACGAAGTTGGGGGAGCTTATGTAATACCCTCGGCGTCAGCGTCCCAGGTTAAGGTTTTTGGAGCAGTTTTCTTTTCAAGTACTTCTATGGCCTATATTAGTCAGAGATGCATGGAGGATACTTCTAGTGTGTTTCATTGTACCAGTCAAGGTTTCAGATGCTGCAATTTCAGCTAAAGAATGACCATGTTAATGTTTTTGGAGCAGGTTAAAGTTTTTGGAGCAGGTCTCATTTCCGAGTAACTATAAGCCCTATATTGACCAAACTTGCATGGATGATACATCTAAGGATGCACACTACTGAACTTGCTTTGGATGCTGGATCTGACCTACATTTTCCGGATGAGTGACTAGGTTAAGGTTTTTGGAGTAGATCTCATTTCCAAGTAACTATAAGCCCTATATTGACCAAACTTGCATGGATGATACATTTAAGGATGCACACTACTGTACTTGCTTCGGATGCTGGATCTGACCTAAATTTTCTGGATGAGTGACCAGGTTAAAGTTTTTGGAGCAGATCTCATTTCCAAGTAACTAAAAGCCCTATATTGACCAAACTTGCATGGATGATACATTTAAGAATGCACACTACTGGACTTGCTTCGGATGCTGAATCTGACCTATATTTTCTGGATGAGTGACCAGGTTAAAGTTTTTGGAACAGATGTCATTTCCAAGTATCTATAAACCCAATATTGACCAAACTTGCATGGATGATACATCTAAGGATGCACACTACTGGACTTGCTTCGAATGCTGGATCTGACCTATATTTTCTTGATGAGTGACCAGGTTAAAGTTTTTTTCTAGCAGATGTCATTTCCAAGTAACTCTAAACCCTATATTGACCAAACTTGCATGGATGATACATCTAAGGATTCACACTACTGGACTTGCTTCGGATGCTGGATCTGACCTACATTTTCTGGATGAGTAACCAGATTAAAGTTTTTTGGAGCAGATCTCATTTCCAAGTAACTATAAGGCCTATCTGAACCAAACTTGCATGGATGATGCATCAAGGGACAAACAATCTCAAAACTTGCTTCGGATGCTGGATTTGACTTACATTTTCTGGATGAGTGACTAGTTTTAAGTTTTCAGATAAGTCTATTCCCAAGTAACTGCAAGCCCTATCAGACCAAAATTGCATAAATGTTGCATCTAGGGATGCACACTCCTAGATTATGAGTTTAGTGTGGGACTTTGCCTTACTTAAAGACAACATTCGTTGGGTGAGTTCTGTAATCTCTGATTACCTATGTTTTAATATGTAACTTTAAAAATAAAGTGTTTGAACTGTAATTGACATGTAATTGAAAAATACATGACATTTTTTGAATGTATTTAAATACATTCAATTACTTGTAATTGAAAACAAACTCAATTACAAATACATGTACTTTCAATTACTTTGAAAAAATGTATTTAAATACAGTAAATTACAATTACGTATTTCAATTACCCCAGCCCTGGTCACACTGATGGTTTTTCTCATTGATGATACTCTTTATCCAAGTTATAAGGTGATTATTTTTAAACTGAATCACAATTTCAATTTTGATTGGTTATAATTGTTGTTCCAGCCCTGGACCTGCAGAGCTGTGGGATTTCTACAGAGGGGGCTCGGCAGTTGCTGGATGTCCTTAAATACAACACAACCATTGTCGTGCTGGACGTCCGCAGAAACCCACTCATAGGTAAACACTACATTGTCACAGATGATAAAAACCCACTCATAGGTAAACACTCCACTGTCACAGATAATAAAAACCTACTTATAGGTAAACACTCCACTGTCACAGATAATAAAAACCCATTCATATGTAAACACTCCATAGTCACAGATAATAAAAGCCCACTCATAGGTAAGCACTCCATAGTCACAGATAATAATAAAAACCTACTTGTAGGTAAACACACCATAGTCACAGATAATAGAAAGCCACTTTTAGGTAAACACTCCACTGTCACAAATAATAATTAAAAGCCACTCATAGGAAAACACACCACTGTCACAAATAATAATAAAAACCTACTTTTAGGTAAACACTTTACTGTCACAGATAATAAAAACCTACTTATAGGTAAACACTCCATAGTCACAGATAATAAAAAACCACTTTTAGGTAAACACACCACTGACACAGATAATAATAAAAACCTACTCATAGTTAAACACTCCACTGTCACAGATAATAATAAAAACCTACTCATAGGTAAACATTCCACTGTCACAGACAAATACAAACTACTCATAGGTAAACATTCCACTGTCAAGGATAATAATAAAAACCCACTCATAGGTAAACACTCCACTGTCACAGATAATAAAAGCCTACTCATAGGTAAACACTCCACTGTCACAGATAATAGTAAAAACCCACTCATAGGTAAACACTCCACTGTCATAGATAATAATAAAAACTTACTTTTAGGTAAACACTCCACTGTCACAGATAATAATAAAAACCCACTCATAGGTAAACACTCCACTGTCACAGATAATAATAAAAACCCACTCATGGGGTAAACACTCCACTGTCACCGACAGATACAAACTACTCTTAGGTAAACATTCCACTGCCACAGATGATAATTAAAAAACACTTGTAGGGTTGTTCAAATCATGACCTCTGGGGTAGGATGGGGCCAGTGGGAGATTAAAGTATATAGGAAAAAATCTTTTAAAATCTTCTTCTCAAGAAATAGATTCATGTTTGTTCAAATCATGACCCCCAGAGTAGGTAAGGCACATCTTAAAAAAAATCTTTTTCTTATTGAAAAGAACAGCAAAACCACGATTAGTCATAATAAAGCATTAGATTCAAGTTTATTCTTATCATGACATTTGGGGGTAGAGTGGCATTACAACAGGGAACCAAAGTTTTAAATAGGAATTTATAGGAAAAAAATCTGTAGATGAAGGACAGCAGGGCCATACTGACTCAGGTGAACATTGTGGCCCATGGACCTCTTGTTCTGAAGTTTGACACAACAAGGTTTGACTATATTTCCCACTTCTTGTCTATCATCTCCTTACATAACCCAATTACATTCTTCTGTTTGCATATTTGTATATTCATGTATATTACATACATTAAAACTTATTTTATACAATCACAAATATATTAATCGAGTCCAGGATCCAGCAATTTTTGGGTGGAATCAATGTTTGTATAGGCAAGACATTTACTTGCGGTATCATGGCATTCAAATGAAACAAAATGCAAATACAACCTTTAGTGTAAAAAAACATTTATATTCTCTTTAATCTCTGTTTTATGTTTCAACTAAAATTATTTAAAAAAAGGAAGGCCTGGGCGAATGAACTAGAAAAATGTTCAGTTGCCCACTGACAGAGAAACATTTTTGCCAAGTTCTTATGACTGACTTTTATGTGACTTACTCTTCTGGGAGTCTTAATACTTTAAAAGTCAGCAAAAAAGAACCCCGAGTTGAATGCTCTGTATAATCCCCCTCCCTAATGAAGTCTAATACACTGTACTTTCATTAACTGATATTTATTTCAAATCCTTCCTTTCAAATAAGAAAGAAGCTGCTGTCTCTTCACTTTCCTCAATCTTAATTGCTGGAAGCCAGGGTTTTATTTTTAATTAGTGACTTTCTTAAGTAGAGGTATTGATCATACATCTAATTATAACCTTCCTTAATCTCTCTGTATTATACCAGCATATGCTAAAAAAAAAAAACCCATTAATATTTCTGAAGACGATTTGTGTGGAGGTTTTTGACTTTAGATCTTGATAATAAGGATTGGTGTTAGAGGATTACAACTTGTTCTGTTTTCTCATTACCTAACATTACAGAGGTATTGGAATTAGTGTTGTATTTAAAATGTCCAGATCAAACTACTTTTTAAAACCATCCCTCTACCTTATTCCCATACATTAAGAATTTACATTAAATTTGAGACTTGGTAGGAATATTAGAAAAACCATAATGTATAATTGGAAAGACAGTTGGTGAGTTTTATATATAGAAATAAATATCAGAATGTGGGAAAGTAATCAGAGAGATGATTGAAAAAAAAATTGAAAAGAAGACTTGTTTCCAACAAGAGACAAATCAGCATTTGATGATTTGGTAATGAAGTCCTAACGGTATCTTCTGACTGTGTCATACAAATTACACTGATGGATGATCTGAGAACCAATCTTGTGACAGCGGATTTCTGAGATGACAATCAGTGTTGAACATGAATTCTTGGAGGTATCCTCTGATGATGTTATACAAATCCACTGATTGACAGTGTGAGAACAAATATCATGCAGTGGATAGGAAGCAATTTCAGTTTTGGGGGGAGGGAAAAAAGAAACATTTTCAGTTTGGGGGCACTACCAAGCACAAAAGTAAAAAATTCCTTGACAGGTCTAAAAAAAGAATACAAAAAAAAAAAAAATACACAAAATACCAAAAAATACAGAAATTACATAGGAATATAGAAATAGAAATTTCTATTTTTGTCTGTGAACTGAAAAAATATATAAAGTTTGCATCATCAAAGAATGTCATATGAGACAATTTTTTTTTCGTATAATGTTAACTTGACTCTTTGAACTAAAGTGCAATCTCTGCATGATTGGAAGTTCTGTTCTAAAACAAAATCTTAAAGACAGTGCTGTACTTCACTTATAAGTGACTTATAAATGACTTGTACTTAATAAAGTATGAAGGGCTAATACTTGACTTATAAGTTTCTTATAGGTCAAGCACTTCATTTGCATATAAAATCCTAATGAGTCACTTATAAGTTAAATGTATCAGTGAAGTATAAGTCCAGAATAAAAACTTACAAGTAAAAGAATAAATCACTTATAAGTCACTAATCAAAAATTTCTGTAAGGGAATGGGTCTCTGAGAATGATTAGTGTTAAATTCTTGGAGGTATCTTCTGACTTTGTCATACAAATTACACTGATTGACAATGTGAGAACCAATCTTGTGACAGTGGATTTCTGAGGAGACAATTAGATAAGTGTTGTGCATTACAGGTTCACAATTACAGTTCACCCCCAAAGAATCAATGTCTGATTCAACTTAATTGTAAACAAACTATTCATCTCACAACGAATGGTAAGTTCCTAATTCGAGAAAGCTGGGAAAAATCGGAATTTTGCAGAATGTGTTTCTTAATTTAGATGGAATGAATGCAATTAAAGCATTGCATTCTTTTCTAATTCTTTTTGGGAGAGTGGTGGGCAATAAGTGCTTATAGTCCAAAATCTAACTGGTGAAAAACAATTTCAACATTTAAAAAAAAAACAAAGATGTTGAATTCTGATTGTTTAATTTGCTAGTGGCTAAAATAAATTGTAATTAGCCAAAGAAAAACAATATCAGTATTTTACTACCTTTTCAAGAAAATAATTTTTTATTGCACTTATAGATACTATTATAAATAACAGTAACTAATAACTCAAGCCAACATTGCAATTACCATCCTACAAACACGATAAAAATTCTTTTTAATGCAACCATTATTCAATAAAATATTTCAAGCTCTGAGAAGAATATGGTGGGTGTATTTTATTGGGAGAAAATATAGGTCTGACAAATCCCTGTTCTCTGTATATGCATGTCTTAGTGAAATAAAAACTAAATAATAAATTATTTATAATGTATGTATCTTTCTTCATTTGAACATTTCTCAATCTTGGCTTTTAATGGCTGTGATGATGAATATTTCAGTAGACTGACCAGAGAATGAGAAAAATATTCAATATTTGTGAAAATAAATAACTTCTATTCTAAATTAGAAAACGAAAACACCTACTCTCAGAATAAAATAATACAAATCATTTCAGATCGAGATGTGGTTCACTCCATCATGGAACAACTGATGATCAACTGTAATGGTCAGGATACAGAGGTGAGAGGTCAAGGTTATAATGATGTGAATGGAACTCACTGATGATCAGTTTGATTTCAATTTGCCATGTGTATATTAATCATGTGGTGTTTATAATGTCTTACTAAACTGAAGTTAATTCATACAAAATAAATTCTACAGTTTATGTCTAATCAGTCAAACCCATGAGAGAGGAAGGAGAAAAAGGAAACAAAGCTCAAACAAAATAATCACACTTTTAGTGTAAAAAAAAAAGCAACAAAAACAATAATAAGTAATATACAACTTGATGTTTAGAGGAATTCTGAAATATTTTACACATTTCATTTTGAAAAGGGTATACCATAATGAAATTCATAGTGTTACCCTCTCCTCTATCCATCTATTATTGAATAACTAAGATGAAAGAAAATCTTGCAATGACAAAAAGAAGGAAAAAAACAATAATGCATTTTCTGTACATTGAACAATTAACTATTTTCAATATTAAAGAAAATGAGGAATACATTCAATCTATGAATTTCTAAGTACTATGGTCTTAAAGTTTGCCAAAAGTATTGCATGTACATTTACTTGAATTTTTGTTATAGCCATAATACAATAAAAATAAAAACTACACAAAATAAAATATTGTCAGTGATTTATGAAAGAAAATTGATAATAAGTGAGTGTTAAGGTGGCTGATTCACTATATTGATTTCAGTATAAGTGGATCAAAGCAGAGGAAGCCTTAGACAGTGGTAAAAAGAAAAAGAGAAGAACAAAAACACTGAATAGCAGCTTTGGTCGAAAAACCACCATCAGGGTAAGTTACTTATAAGCCACTCTGTGAGTAAGTAACAGTAACTGAGTAAACCACCATTAGGGTAAGTTACTTATAAACCACTGTCTATGTAAGTAACAGTAACTGAGTAAACAACCATTAGGGTAAATTACTTTTAAACCACTGTTTGTGTAAGTAACAGTAACTTAGTAAACCACCATCAGGTAAGTTACTTATCAACCACTGTCTGTGTAAGTAACAGTAACTGAGTAAATCACCATTAGGGTAGGTTACTTACAAACAACTGTCTGAGTAAGTAACAGTAACTAAGTAAACTACAATTAGGGTACATTACTTATAAACCACTGTCTGAGTAAGTAACAGTAACTGAGTAATCTACCATTAGGGTAAGTTACTTATATACCACTTTCTGAGTAAGTTACAGTAACTAAGTAAACTATCATCAGGGTAAGTTACTTATAAACCACTCTCTGAGTAAGTAACAGTAACTGAGTAAACCACCATTAGGGTAAGTTACTTATAAACCACTGTCTGAGTAAGTAACAGTAACTAAGTAAACCACAGTTAGGGTAAGTTACTTATAAACCACTGTCTGTGTAAGTAACAGTAATTTAGTTAACCACCATCAGGGTAAGTTACTTATAAACCACTGTCTGTGTAAGTAACAGTAATTTAGTTAACCACCATTAGGGTAAGTTACTTATAAACCACTGTCTGTGTAAGTAACAGTAATTTAGTTAACCACCATCAGGGTAAGTTACTTATAAACCACTGTCTGTCTAAGTAACAGTAATTTAGTTAACCACCATCAGGGTAAGTTACTTATAAACCACTGTCTGTGTAAGTAACAGTAATTTAGTTAACCACCATCAGGATAAGTTACTTATAAACCACTGTCTGTGTAAGTAACAGTAATTTAGTTAACCAACATCAGGGTAAGTTACTTATAAGCCACTGTCTGTGTAAGTTACAGTAACTGAGTAAACCAACATCAGGGTAAGTTACTTATAAGCCACTGTCTGAGTAAGTAACCACAACTAAGTAAACCACCATTGAAGATAGAAAAATATTACTACCAAAAAAAAACTGTCAGTGTGTTTCTGCCACAAATCTTGAACAAAAAATTAGAACAAAGTTTATTTCAGTGTCTGAAATACACCTGTGTAAGTTTTATTGTTAGTGTTTATTATATAATTCAGACTAATAATATATAATACAATAGAAAAGACAGTACTTGCATATACTTATTTATGATTTTACTGTACAGATCAGAATCAGTATTTCTGAGGGGGAGAGTCTTGATGATTGCATAAACAAATGAACGTTCTTCATCCCTGTACATGGTGTTTACTTTGATTACGTATTCACAGCTTTTTAACCCTTCAGCTCAGGACAAACAAATCAAGCTCTGATGCCTTTTCTTACAAATTCTGTTTGTCACTCGAGTTGAGGCGGTAATCTCCCGAGTTTTTGTCATGTTGATGACCGTCGTCTTAAATAACAAAGCAAGTTATTCTCCCACAAGCCACTGCTCTAATTCCAACATCTGATCAATATCTGTTTTAGGAGGCTTCCATCATTACGTCTCCTGCTGGTATTTTGTTTCTCTCTGATGTTACTGTCACATCCATTTATGAATCAATAATGCAGGATATTACATCTAATGATAATGATTGTCCCATGGCAGTTATTGTTACATTAAGTTCTAAATATTGCTCTGACTTCTCAGGTGTCAGCTGGTGCTCAGAGAAGAAGAACCAAGTCGGCAAGTTCACTTGGGGTCACACACAAGATTCAGCCAATCAGCTCTGAGGGTGTGAAGTCTGGACCTGGAATGCCTTGGAGGACAGCAGCAAGGGCCAATAGATACAGGTATTAGGGTGGATACAGATATTAGGGTACACCTCTAATGATAAAGCTTTCCTACATATCTTTTATTCCCTGCATGCTCTCTATTTATACCATGATGTTTGGGTGTTTAACATGCAACTTCTTCTAAACCTTCAGCAAACATAAGTAAAGAACATCAAAATCTCTTTGATAATTTCCTGAATATGTACAAAAGGCAAAGCAGGTGGTATGAATATTTTCAAGAATTTTTTATACAAATTGGAGGACACATATTATATGCAGAAAAAAATTAAGTACAATTGCTGTTGATTGTAGGGGATTCCCCCCTGAACACATCCCTGGTAAGGCCAGTTTGTTTGAGAACAGTGAGGCATCCCCCACCTCCTCCCCCGACCACACCCAGTCTATCCTCATCAACGCTGAGGATGAGGAGCTGGACACACTCCGGGAACTTGAGAGACTCAAACTAGACGATAGTAATCTCGACACAGGAGTCGCAAATGTCAAAGAACTACAGGTAGAGTCAAAATATAGTTGTCTGATTAATGATGCAATGGTAGTAATGAACTTGTGGTTAAATCAACAGGATCCGGTTGCACGAACGTTAGTTAAATTAACTTCCAGTTAGTGTCGTAACTAACTGTTAAATTTTTAACAACGAGTTACATAACTGTCAGTTAAAAATTTGTTGTTCGAAAGTCTATTAAAAATAAATTAGCTAACTCACATTTAATTGATGTCTTATAGTTAACTATCTGTTAAAATCGTTCTACACGCGCATTTCCCTTACCTATGGTGAAATATTTCTGACGTCATAATCAAAATGATGTCAATTCATAAATATTTTAAATTTGCTAAGGTTATTTACATGTACTTTAAATATAGGATCTCCCATGATTTGTAGTTGGATATGATTTTTATCCAACAAGTTGTGTGTTTTTTATCCCTGAGCCTTGGCGAGGGGATAAAAACACACAACGAGTTGGATAAAAGTCATATCCAACTACAATTCATGGGAGATTCTTTTTATCCCATGTTTAATACTTCACAACCAATGTTTTACACTGTTTTATATAGGACTCCACTTTAATTTTACTTCATTACTCTAACACAAAAACCATTGTGACGTCACAACTGCACTTAACTGTGGATTATGAAAAAATTATCCAATGAGTCATATCCACGGGATAAAGGGGTAAACATGGGATAAATATTAATATTATATTGGTAAAATATATTTAATGTATTATTAAAGATAATTACTTCAAATATGAATTCTTACGTTGAAAGATAGTCATTTTACATGCAGTGTAAACAATGCAATTACAAAGTATGTATTCAGTATTAAGTTTTAACATTAGGCATTGATTTTTGGGAGAGAAATTGAAAATAATTTTAAAAAAAAAATCTCTTAAAAAGTGACAGGAACAACCCCCCCTCCTCGTTTTACATGCCTTAAGTTTTTCAGTAACTTGTCTGAGGTTAAGATTTTTTTAAAATGATGATCATTTTGATAAAATATAATAACATTTATTGTATGCATAATCAGATAAAAAAAAGTACCTACATCTCCACTCATATGGAATGATTTCGTCTTGTTGTTCTTTGCAGATTAATTAATTAAGATTAAGATTTGTGATATTTATCGCAACATATATCCGCAATATATACATGTATAATACAATCTTGCCTAAATCGAAATCGGGAATAAATTTGCATGTTGCTCTAGTCAGACATTTCTATCATCTCTGTATAAGTTCTTCCTTCCATGCAAACAAGTTTTGAAATGATAACAAGTCCGCGATTTTGATTTTAATGCTTAATTAAATATTTAATGTACCTAGGTAACCTCAGTTAAATCTGTTAGTTAAATCACAAAATTAATTAGGCTTTAATTGTAAGTTAACTTTTGTGCAACCGGTTTAACTCGCCGTTAAATTTAATGTCACGTTAACGCAAAGTTAACGGCCAGTTAAATTTAACTAACGTTCGTGCAACCGGATCCAGGTAATTTAAATTTCACATACAATTGTTTGATTCATTCAATATCCAACAGATCTGTCTATCCTGCTTTTGGTGTATTTCTTCCATATTTTATCACTAATTTAAGCCACACAAACCAATTTTAATGCTTTCTAAATTTTATGCTTGAATAATTGTGTAATTTAATATATCTTTTGAGTTCATGTACAACCTATATTTTCACTAATATGCAAAATCAATAAAACCCTTTATTTATGTCTACACTTATAAATTAAAGTTCTTCTAGAGAACAAAATATAGAATTTACTACCTAAATGCACAGCACACTCAGAATAAGATGTTGAAAAGACACTACGTTATTTGACAATTATAATCTGCCACACTGAAAGACTTTCAATAAATTGTGATATTCAAGCAATTGACAAATACTTCTTTTCCTGTAAGACTGGTGTTCAAATCTAAGTTTGACATGTTTGGATGATAGAATGCCATACTTTTACAACAATTCATTATGGAATTTATGTCGATAAAAAAATTGAAATAGCTTGTGCTTCATTTTTAATGAGATATACAATATATAGACTAATTTGAATTGTAAAGAATCAAAATAAGATATCAATATAGGAAAATATGAGGCATAACAATTTTGCCTCTGAAATTTCACTCAAATGAAGAGTTACTTAATGCCTCTGCAATAAAACAGATATTAGGCAGATTTTATGCAAGGACCATAATTAGGGTGAAAAGATTTATTCAGTTTTTTAAATCTTCAAGGTTTCTAGGGGTATGTCAGTGTAATTCTCAGACAAAGGATTTCCTTCATCAATTTATTAAGAAACTGGCATTTCAACTGGGATAATATTTCTAAAAAGAAATGCACCAAAATCAATAATTGAACCATTTATTGGTCATGTAAAGTCCCCAAATCATTCTACTACGGCACATGAACAAAGATTGACCAAATACAGAAGGAAGACAAAAAGGGATTACTACAATATTTAGAGATTGTAAATATACAAGTGTTATAAATGTAAAAGTAAATATTATGTCTATTTGTAGATTGAACTTATCCAAGTAAAGAGGAAGATGCAGCAGGAAAAGCTTGCTCGAGCACGTGCAGACAAAAGGGTCGTAGAGGTCAGTGTTATATAAAAACAACATTGGAGGCCTTATTATAATACCTTATTATGATAGACCTCCTGATATAATGAAAACCATTTCTTATGAATTCATATGCAGAATGAATTTTTTAATTTTTATTAAGACAGTTAAAAACTTTCCTGAAAACTGACCTACAGTCAAACCTTGTTATCTCGAACTCAAAGGGATTAGAAAAAACTTTGAGATATCCGAGGATTCCAGATATCAAGTGTAAAATACTTAAAGAATAAAAAGTTGGGACATGCAAATCACTTCGACATATCCATGGTATTCGAGATATCAGTGTTCGAGATAATGAAGTTCAACTGTAATGTATCAAATTTCATATTGTTTAGAACAATCAAATTTTAACTTTAAAAATAACTTTGAACTGCATTAATACTATATATGTAACAGGTCTCCTCTGTAGAGGGTTGGATATCATTTTTGTATGTAAATGTTTTGTAGTTGACCCTGGAGAACAAGCGACTAAGAGATGAAGTACTAAGACAGAAAGGTCAAGTGTCCGGCAGTGTGCTGGATGATGATAAGGTCCTAGATAGTATTGAGGCATCCTTCAAACAATTTCACCAGTTTCTGGATCTGTTAAGGGAAGCAGGGTAAGTGTCAAAACTCAAAAACAGGATCAGAATAGTGTTAACATAGGAGGCGATGATGGTTAAAATTTTTAAATGTGTCAAAAAATGATTCTGATAAACATTGAACTTTCCCAGAGCAGACTATGCTCTTTAATTGTAAAAGTTTTGATAAATGGTGAAAAAGATAAGACAGAAATATTCTTAGTCCATCAGCAATTAAAATTCATCTTGGATGTTATAATAATATATGTAATGTTTTTTTTTGTTTTTTTTGCCCCTTCATAGTATATATTTGTAGTAAAATTTGTTCTTTTTATTATTTTTGAGTTTTTTTTTCTTTTGGTTGAGATAAATATGTGAAGTAGCACAGAAATAAAGTTTTGGTGAAAAGAATAGAATATAGAGTATCTTGCAATGAATTTAATAATTAAACAAAAATGTACCTGGGTTGTCCGGCAAAATCGTGGACAAGTTGTCTAGATTGAAAAGTAATCGTCACTGCGTTCTAAAACTTTCACTACTTTATTAGTACATTTTTCATCAATATACATATCAAATTTCAAATAGATATCTGCTCAAATAAACAAAATGTGAGACTTTATGTTATGTGTGGTATCGCCTTACAGCGCATGGATGATAATGTCAAAGTGACTAAAGCAGCATCACATTTGCTCTTTGCTAAATAAAAGTTGGATAAGCCCCACTTAAATTTGGAAATTTCATTGATTCTTATACTTGATTTACCTATATTCCTCCATAAACAGTCGAGGAACCAATCTCGCACACACATGGGACCTTCTGAAGATTTATTAGTAAGTTATGGACAGTACTCTCACTATCATTCAACTAAATAGGCTATCTTATATTGACGGTCTACAGTGACAGCGTCCTTTGCTATTGCCATTATCTGTTTGTCCATATTTTTGTTCTACCCTGTGACCCGATCAAAGAGCTTCTGCTTAGAAAACTCCCATTTCACTTGTATACTAAAGATCTAGTGATATTTTTTTCTTCTGAAGTCATTTAAAGTTTCTTAGGGCGTCATTACTAATCTAAATCAAACTGAACTGCTCTCCGGTGTGCCGTAACGTCACCAAACGTCGCCATTTTTTGTGTGTTGCGTTTACCACTTTCCCAATTCAAATGCTCGGGAAACTGCCAAAAATTAAGCAATGGCCTTGATATTCAAAAGACAAAATAATAGATAGTGGATTAAAAAATGGATAATTTTATCCCAACCTTATCTATTTAATACTTTTATTTCAAAATAAAACTTGTGTATTTGCTAATGAAACCCTGGTTTTTTGATCGTGCGCCATAGGACCGTACCAAACATTCAAGCATAATAAAATCTTAATTTTTGTCTATATTTTATCAAAAAAATCAAGATGCACTTAAATTTAATGAATAAATATTTGCTGAAAATTTCAGCGCCCATTATTTTTTTAGAAAAATGCTTTGTCCAGCATTTTATTGGACAACCCTCGTATAACACATGCTGTAAAAAAATAAACAGACAAAAAAAAATCAGGACTAGAGAAAAACTGAAACTACTGAAAGAATTTTTCTGAATGATAATTATTTCTCTTTTTTAAGGCTGGGACAGCTGATCACCATGGCAGGCTTGGATCAGAAGGAATCCCCATTCTCTCAAGGCCTGGCTCAGGCCAAACAGACAAGTCAGAGGTCAAATAAACCCCTCTTCACCTCCAGCCCCTCCAAGATCCCTGTCAGACCCACCAAACCCACAATGAAGACCTCATACTTTGGAGACATATCAGCTGTAGGTAGGGTGGGCAGCTCTACCACGGGTCCCAAGGGGGGAGATAATGATGCAAACTTGTCTGCATTTGACAAGAAGTTTCGGGATTTCCATGACGGGTCCTTCATTGATGAGGAGAAATACATGAGGAATGTGGATCCCACAATGGAGGGCGAGTACCAGGACAGCAGTTATGATCGAGGACCAATGAGAAAGGATGACCTCTACGAGAGAATCTTACATGAGACGAGCGGCATGTTTTCTCACGTTAGACCAGACAATTCCACTGTGGCAGACATCTTACCAGCAAAAGACCTCAGTCAATCAGAGAAAATGGACTTCTCAACCAAAGGACGAGTTTCTCCAAAGGAAGAAAAGGAACCAGTTAAAAATGGAAAAAAACAAGGAGACATCAGGAAAGATAATAAATCTGATTTGTTTTCTGAGGACTATTCTCATGGATTACGAGAGGAAATCCTGCAGGACCTGCCAGACTTTGAGACCAGTGAGACCGAGGTATCCGAGTTACCCAGTCGACCGAAGCCTCAACCTCGAGGCAGAAAACTTAGTGATGATGAGAGCAAAGTTCGGTCAAAGCGAGACATTCAGAGTGAGAAAGAGTCACCAGAGCACAAGTCCAAGATGAGTGATTATAACTATAGCATGGAAAGCTTTGAACAGTCTTATATCAGTGAGAGAGGGGAACTTGTACAAGACCTGAATATGTTAGAAAGTGGGGCCTCACCCTCCCCTGAGTTTATTGATAGTGACAATGAAGACTTTTAATTGGGAGCATCTCACTTACCACTAATTGAGAACTAACTGAGAGCTAGAATGAAGGTGTGATAAGTTTTTAGACTGTACTAACAGAGTACTGGACTAAGCACAGAATAAATGATTCTCATGTGAAGTCCTTGCATAGCGTAACTCATAATGATACACGTATTATGGTTTAATACAAAATTTTTAACCTGATGTAATGCCATAAAGAAAAGAGAAGTTTTTCTGTGAATTGTAGAGAATAGTTTCTTCCCAATGCTATTATGTATATTTTTTATGAATGATGATGCTTTGCTGCCAAGTAGAGAGGAAAAAAAACTCAGTGGTACAGAAAAATATGTCGTACAGCCAAATAATAGTTTCTCCTGTGTTACAGCCCTTGTACAATGTAGATATTTTGAAGTACACGTACTGGTAACTTATTGATCATTTCTGTAGTTTTGTTATTGAACCCAAAATGTGAAATTGAATGATTATGTAGCAGATTTTAATGAAGCCAAAATGGAATGAAGCTAATGATGGGAGACAGCTCCATTAATTTTTTTTATTTCTTTTTTTTTGTATTACTTCTAGACATTATTCATACTTGTATGATCCGTCAATTCTTTAAAACAAACAAACAAACAAAGTAAATGTATAAATGATTTGTATTTTGAAAGTAATTTCAATTTCTTTGTTACTTTTTTGTAGCTAAGAATGTAGATTGTAAGAGTTTATTTGCTTTGTAACAAGAATCTATCTTTGTTTGTTATAGTGATGGCTTTGATACAAATCTTGCCTGCTTTTGAAGATCTGTGTAACTTCTGACTATGTAACCCATCAAGGCTTTTTATTATGTATCTATTTATTCCTTCCTATTTATTTTCATTAATTTATTCACTGCAATTTTCCTTGCATTTACTCTGATTCAAGCTGTAGCTTATTGTAGATATGTTATGCAATAAAAGATTTGAACCAAGATTCTTTTAATCGTCAATATATGTTACTGTAGGGACCTATGGTAGGTGCCTAGGATGCTCACACAGTTGTGAAAGAGGGGTATATATTAAATGGAATATAGATGAGGTAAAGATTAGATGAATGAATATATCAACACATTGAGGAGTACTTTTATTCCCTTGTAATTATAACTTGCAGGCATGTGCATGTTTCCTTCTCAGGTCTATAGCAGTTGTTTCAAAAGGGGGCATGTTCAAAAAAAAAAAAAAATCTGACAAGCCAAAATAAGAAAACCCAACTGACCAAAGAGTACTGGCGGGGTGGGACCTTCCCAATATAATCTGACAAGCCAAAAAAAACCAATCTAATGAACTGGAATTTGCCTGTGCTAGACTTACGGCAACAAAAAGTGGGGGGGGGGGAGCAAAATACTATACTCAGAAAAAGTGCCCCCCCCTTCTTGTTCTAAGGGCCTGCTCCTGCCCCAAACAATTTTGTAGATACAACATTGATTCATGATCAAGCCAGAAATATACAGATTGCTAATCTGACCAAATTGAGACTAGAATGTTGTTATTTTTTTGTTAAGATGTTAAAATAGACTCGCTTAATTTGCCTAAGACTAATGATTGTCCTGTGCCAGCAGGCTGTAAATAAATCTAAATATAATTAAAAATTACAAAAAAGAAACAGTATTTCTAAGGAGTAAGAATTAGCCAGGTATGTTGTTGCTTCGACCTCATTACTTGTAAACAAAAAAATTAGAATATTTACAAATTAAAATTAAGAAAAACTTATAGTAAATTAAATGAAATTAATGTATACCATATGAAAATTTTTAAAACATATAAATATTAAGTATGGGACATGTCAAGGAGGACAACTCCTAAATCACTTGACCCAATCGGATCACCTCGCCCTTTTCCGTCGCACGCTAGAAAAAAGACACTTGACCCTCAGGTAACTATGCAGGTAAACGAGGAAGTTATAACCCACAACAACAACAACAAAACGACTGAATCAAAAGGAAATTACTTCACACACATCAAGTTTGTGAATATTTGTTCACGTTGTTAAACAATACTTGAAAGTTCTAAGGGTAATGCATTTTTTGTAAGCTTTTAAGGATGTTAGATATAATGCATTCAAAAGTAACAGGTTATAATTCTCGACATTGCATTGCGCAACAAGAAAAATAATTTCAATTGAACCATGGAATTTTTAGTTTGACGATTTTAATAGCTTTGGGCTTGTTTTTTAAAAAACAGAAATTCTTACATTTAACTGAAATATTAATATGAGTATGAATCCAGTAAAACATTATTTGTTTACCTGTCGCCAAAAAAAAAAATCAATTTAAACTACTCTTATTTATTTTTATTTGAAAATATTTTACATTTGCAAATGTTTTTCCTTATATAACACTATTTGAACAAGGTGTTTTTACACTTGTGTAAAACAAGCTTAAGTTTGTCATGTGACCATAAATTGATTGTTAAGTCATAAACGATCTACGTAATTTCATAGTGACGTCATAAGTGATCAACGTGTTCAACTGTTGAGTTTCGAAAAAAATAAATCATTTATGGGTTCAAAACTTTAGTACCTAACTATTTGTAATAAATCAGTCACAAGTGTAAAAATAAGAAATAAGGTATCATTTTAAAAGTTTTATCGGGATGTAAATACGGGTTAGCATGTGATCAAATCTACCATAAAGCCCTTTGGGCTTTATGAGATTTGATCACATGACCAACCCATATTTACATCCCGATAAAACTTTTAAAATGATACCTTATTTCTTAAATAAATATGTATATGAATATAATAAAATCAGTATGCAGCAGTCTAAAAGCTAATCATAATATAATCCTGTCGTAAAAGACTTTTCTAGATTTGTATATATCTTGAATTCATGAATTTTAGATTTGATATGGCAATGCATCCCAGCACTAATACCCAGGATGTGATGCGATGTGACCTGTGTAAGACTGCAGTGGTACAGATGCACTGTGAAACATGCCTTGTCAATCTGTGTAAGGCCTGTGTAGGAGAACACTCAATGTCTGATAAATCTAGAAAAAAACATGAAATTGTTCAATTCAAATATCGAAAATCAATTCCTCTTTACCCTAGATGTACCTCTCATGTCAAAGAACGATGTGATATGTACTGTAACCAATGTGATGTTCCTATTTGCAAGGCTTGCATTGCCTCTAAAATGCATTCAGGTCATAACATTTGTCAAATACTGACATTTTACAACTCTGTGAAAAGGGAAATTGAGAGAGAAAGTGAAGAAATTAAGATGAGCATTTACCCAACCTATCAGGACATAGCCTATGATGTACAAAACAGAATGAACCAGCTTGAAAAGGAATATGGAGATCTCTCCGCAGCAATAGGGGTACATGGAGATGAATGGCACAGAATGATTGACGAACTTGTAAAAAGCCTCAGAGCTGAAGTTGACACCATGAAATCTAGACATTTTGACATTATGAAGAAACAATTAGCTGAAATAAATCAGAGAATTTCAGAAATAGAAGACGAAATCCAAGCCTCCTCCAAAATACTGGAATCAAATGACATCTCTCTTCTTCTTCAATTTAATAGAAAAATATCAGAACTCAGGAAACTCCCCACTAAACTAGAAGTACCAAGTCCACAATTTACTCCAATGAGATGTCAACAAAAAGAATTTCTGAAACAGTTTGGAAAACTATCAACCCTAACTCTTTTTCCTGATGAAAATTGCTATAGCAATAAGACAGCACAGAAATCACCAGAAGAAATTAGTCCACAAGTAAAGCAGCTGCTTAAGAAACCAAAGATTGTTAGCACCATTAAAACTGGGAACAGTGGTACAATGTACGATAGCCTATATGATGTGGCCTGTCTGAGTGATGAAGAAATTTGGATGAGTGGACTTGTAAACACAGTGAAACTATTTAGCATCAATCAAGGCTCACTACTCAAGTCAATCAAAACCAAGTCAGGAAACATCCCCTTCAATATAGCAGTAACAAAACATGGCCATCTTGTTTATACTGATCCCAATGATGGATCTGTTAACATTATAAAGAATGAAGAGATTGAGACTGTGATCAGACTACAGAAATGGAAACCTTACAATGTCTGCGGCACCTTCTCTGGTGACCTCCTGGTTGTCATGGACAGTGATGATGGCAAACAATCGAAGATTGTACGTTACTCTGGCTCCGAAGAGAAGCAGATAATTCAGTTTGATGATAAAGGTCAACATCTTTATTCTTCTGGTAAAAGTAAATGCATCAAAGAGAACAGGAACCTGGATATCTGTGTGGCTGATTATGCAGGTAATGCAGTAGTGGTGGTCACTCAGGCTGGGAAGTTGAAATTCAGGTACACTGGACATACTCCTGATCCAAAAGACAAACCATTCAATCCAACAGGAATCACCACAGACAGTCAAAGTCACATCCTCACAGCTGATTTTAACAATAATTGTGTTCACATCATAGATCAGAATGGACAGTTCCTTGCTTTCATAGATTGTGAACTGAGTAGTCCTTGGGGATTATCTTCAGATACAAATGACAATCTGTTTGTTGGCCAATGGATAAAAGATAAAATAAAGAAAATAAAATATCAAATGTCAAAATGATTAAAATAATTGCTAGTTTAGTTATATACGGTAAAGGCATATCCACCCCCCCCCCCCTCTCTCTCTCTCTTGAAATGTGCACAATCGCATATATATCTATGTAATAAAATTTGAATTCACAGAAAGTATTATTATACCCCATGCAACAAGTTGCGTGAGGTATAATGTTTTTGACCCGTCCGTCAGTCAGTCAATGTGTCAGTTAGTCAGTCAGTCAGTCCTGTTTTTTTGTCAGCGCAACTCCTCATAAACCGCTGCACAGAATTTCGTCAAACTTTGCAGATATTTAGGACACAGAGTGTAGATGTGCATATTACCAGTAAATTCTGATTCCTTTATTTTTCTGGGAATTTCGGCACTTTTCAACTTAGATTTTTGGCCATATCTTGAAAGTTTATGATTTTGAAAATAGGAAATATTTAGAATTAAGTATACCTGCTAAATAAATAAATTAGTTTAATTTGTTCGGATTAACATTCACGCATAGGTTCTCTTTATTTCTTGATCAAGAAATAAAGAGAACCTATGCGTGAATGTTAATCCGGACAAATTAAACTATTTATTTAGCAGGTATACTTAATTCTAAATATTTCCTATTTTCAAAATCATAAACTTTTAAATAAAAATTGCTTATAATTTAGCTAGAAGAATAAAATAAATATTGATTATCATTGATTTATATAAAATTACGTCAGAATTCAAAAACATTAAAATGTGCACCGTCACACGGTTATTATAATACGTATTTGAACAAAATGTTATAGAAGGAAAATAGAACACTATACTTAACTTTAATAATAATGCGGCGAAGTACGATATTTATTTCCTGACTTAGTTAACCTTTTAAAGGAATTCATACCTAATAATATGATGACCAATAATTAATCTTTTTACAGTAAATATGTATATCCTAACTTTAATTCACAATTAATAATTCTAACTGTTAATTTAGAACAAAACTGAATTCATTACTAAGAATGCTAAATATTTGTTATAAATATAAATAAGTAAATGTTTCAATACTGACCTTTAAAATACGACAAGGTTGAGGTTATACAATGTTTATTGTCTCGTGTCCCGAGCGTAAGTGACGGGAGGGAGACGGGAGAACAAACTTCAGTATATAAACAAATTCATATGACTACATCATCATTTTGTTTCCATTTTGTTTCCATCAATTATTTAGATGTGTAAATTGTCATGTGTTGGACATGGACTTACACTCATTAACAAATCGAAATAACTGATGAATTTAAAGAACAGTTTGACAGCATAACTCCTGCACTGAATTTCCTGAAACTTTGTAGGTTTTTCAGACATAATGGATAGATTTGTATATTACCAAGAAATTTTGACTCCATTATTTATC